CAGAAATACGTCAAGCCTTTCTTATTTTCTACGACGAACACTCTGTTTTACAAATAAAATTATATATGCTAATTTACTATATATAGTATGTATGTTTACAGTGTGGTGCTATCAAATTATCAAGTATGTAATAATTGTCTTAGTAGGCAAATATGAGGCCTAAGCATTGCCTGGTATTGCTTAACCACATAATACATCTCTAAAATGTCCACATATTAGTTTAAGCTGTTCCGATAAATAGATACTAGTACGTAAGTGGCAAAAATTAATGAAAATGCATAAATCTAAATTCGTAGCATCTGACTACTAACGGTGTAAAAATAGAAATAGGCCTACGTGATAAACGTAACTCTTCATGAATGAAGATCTTTTATAACACCTCTTGGCTAAAATATGTTTGATATATCCGGTTTCGAGAGCGCGTACATTTTTTATGTCACAAAAACATGCTAAATATGTAACATGCGATATAAATAAAGCAAAGAATTTGAGATACGAATATAATATGTATTAAAATTCTAACAAAAAGCAGAATCCAATGTCGTAAGTACGTTTACGATTTAGCGTGTCATGTAACATGTATACAATAAACCATAAAACATTAGCAAAAAATGTTGCCTACTTAGTGATGTGACCAACTGCATATCCTCATAGGCCCAACATTGCTTATTACTGTGGAAAGCGTGCCTCTATAAATGATATAGGCCTAAATGTTGTTTTTGTACGAAAACAAGGCCTGTACGCATAAAAACTACCGTATTCACGTACGAACCCACAATTTTGAATATTTTCATTTTACAAAAATCGGATATTTCATCAGTGTCGCGCGTATTGACAACATAGTACTTACCATAGTGTTTGTTCGACTCGTAGCCGGCATGACAGTCGAATCTTCATTAATATAATACTTAATTTAGCATGGATGTCTGTTAGGTGAACACCGTGGTTGGGAGATGAACGCTGCGGGACTGAATCTTATGATAGCCTGTCTAAAGAGGCTGGATCGTCACAGCTACTCAATTAGTTTGCATTTGTACACAAAGCGTGAATAGGCGGTTCACTTCAGAGACCACTTTAGGCTTTCATCTGCCGCTGGCCAATCAACTTATCTATTTATGCCTGTGATGTTTACCGCCGGCCAATAGAATGGCGTCATGGTGGATACATAAGGCTCGCCGATCTATTAACCCTGACAGCAAGATCAAAGCTGCCGACAAGAATTTGTTGACAGGAAAAGTGTCCTTCATTACGTACAGGGCTGGATTGGGCGGGACAAAGGCGGGCAAGTTGACCAACTATTTGTAGGCTGCCTTTTCAGTTTAGTGATTAATGGAACCTGAAATTCAACTGATTAAAGGCAGCCGCACTCCTGGTTGTCGGCATTAGAAAGCGATATGCCGGTGCTGAAAGACGACCAGGTAGGATAAACTTCGCTCTGGTCGATCAACATAAAGTTGTAAAAATGAGAGTCGATAGCAACATTAACTTAAACCTACACAACTATTTCCGATAGTTATAGAAAACATAGAGAAACCAGTCTACATTGTCCAACAGGCAGAAATCAAAACCGATAAATGGGACATAATCCACGCCTGCTCTAATGGAAAGCAAATATCATAGGCATTTGCATCAATTTGAACGATCATTTGTCTGAAATGACACAATCATAACGAAACTCGCACTAATATAGGCCTAAGTTTACGTTTGTTTGGTAGGCCTAATTGTTGGACTGCACCTTTTATAACGCCCTCGCGAACTACACACGCCAGTCTGACTAAAACACCAAATACGATTGTTATCTGGCAAAATATCTAGAATTTAGCGGCCGAATTGGATTTTAGAAAAACAAAAATTCAATGGAATTATCTTTAATGCGTGAATAATAGCCTCTGTCGGCACAATCAATTTGCCTTTGATCTGCATTGCGATATTACGCGCTACCTACTTTTTATATGTTTCTCTTGATATGAACGGCTCTCTTGGGATAAGGAACACACCGGAGACTGGTTAAATTACGTCACACAACTTTCATTAGAAACTAAATGCTAAATTGTAAATTTATAATTATAATAATGATATTTATATTAAAATTATTCTCATTGACAATACACTTTACACAGACCATAATTTTAATCAAATTAATTTAGTATTGGTAGACCTCTCAAAACATACTTCTGTCTGATCACACAGCTGCGGTCTATCAAACTCGAATTACTGTACATTACATGAAGACATATTAGCATTTCACATTGATAATATTATACATTATTATATAACATGTACGACTTTAATATCTTTTAATGATAGGTAGGCCTATATATATATCGTCTCTGATATGCTAACAAAAACAAATTTAATATAAATTTCAGTATCTCAATTGCTTCTCTTCTCAAAGCTAGTACTTCTTCTGCGATTCTTCTACTACTGCTACTATTCTTGTTCTTGTTCTTGTTCTGCTTCTTCTTCATCATCGTCATCTTCTTCTTGTTGTTTGTTCTTCTACTTGTTGTTGTTGTTCTTCTTCTTCTTCTCTTTCTTCTTCTTCTTCTTCTTCTTCTTCTTCTTTTTCTACTACTACTACTTCATCTTCTTCGTATTTTCCTTCACCTCCTCCTCCTCCTATTCTTCTTCCTTCTCCTCCTCCTCCTCCTCATCCTCATCATCCTGTTCTTCTTCTTGCCTATTCTTCTTCTTATTCTCCTTATACTCCCCTTCTATCCTTCTTCTTTTTCTTTTCTTCTTATTTTCCTCCTATTCTTTATTCTTCTTCTTTTCCTCCTCCTCCTCCTCCTCCTTTTTCTCCTTCTTTTTCTTCTTTTTTTCTTCTTCTTCTTCTTCTCCTATTCTTCCTCTCTTTCTTCTTCTTCTCCTATTCTTCCTCTCTTTCTTCTTCTTCTCCTATTCTTCTTCTTTTTCTTCTTCTTCTTCTTCTCTTATTCTTCTTCTTCTTCTTCTCTTATTCTTCTTCTTCTCTTATTCTTCTTCTTCTTCTTCTCTTTCTTCTTCGTATTTTCCTTCACCTCCTCCTCCTCCTCCTCCTCCTCCTATTCTTCTTTTTCTTCTTCCTTCTCCTCCTCCTCCTCCTCATCCTATTCTTCTTCTTGTTCTCCTCCTCCTATTCTTCTTCTTGTTCTCCTCCTCCTGTTCTTCTTCTTGTTCTCTTCCTCCTATTCTTCTTCTTATTATTCTCCTTATCCTCCCCTTCTACTCTTCATCTTCTTTTTCTTTTTATTTTCCTCCTATTCTTTATTCTTCTTCTTTCCTCCTCCTCCTCCTATTCTTCTGCTTCTTTTTCTTCTTCTTTTTCTTCATCATCATCATCTTCTTATTATTATTTTCCTCCTCCTCCTATTCTTTAATCTTCTTTTTCTTGTTCTCCTCCTCCTCCTCCTCCTATTCTTCTTCTTATTATTATTATTATTTTCCTCCACCTCCTCCTTCTCCCAGAAATGCATGATGAAGTTTTCTTTAAGTCCCCATGGCTCATACGAAAAAATAAAAGAACCTTGGTATTTATATGACAATTGAGTGAATGGTCTGAAATTAGTTATATTTTGTGTATTTAGAACTACCTTTATTGTTTGCTTGGCTTTTTATGTAGGCTGAATTACCGTATTATTATATTATTAGCTTTCAATTAAAATATTTTCTCTGCCAATTGCCCTAGGCTAATAGACGTATAACTATCGAGGTATTTCCATGGAGGTCTTTTTCATAGAGCTTACTTGGCGGGTAATCAGTTTAATGATTCTCGTTCATAGTAAAATCGATAAATCGAAGAAAAAGTATTTGGTTAAATCTGTGTTTCATTTGAGGTAAAATGGCTCTGATTTTTTAAATACTGCAATAAAGCTAAAATTAAATCAATAAATCAGTATCATATGCATTTATAAAACTAAAATAATTTAGTGATTAAAAACATGTGTTTATTACCGATTAAAACAGTTTTACAACTAAAATAATTTATTTAAAAAAAAAAAGAATCTAATGTCAAATAAAATGCCATATAAAGATTAACGAAATAACCCAATACATAAGAAATAACTTTTACATTTTGCAACGCTTTCATTATTTGAGAATAATTTATATCTTGTGTATTTTGGAATAGATTATTAATTTTTTTGAATAGCTAAAAGGCAATTTCCTTATTGATTAAATTTTCAGTTAGTTTATTTGGTGAAAACTATAAACTAGGCCTATACTTTATTTAGGAATCTTAACTTGTTCATTTGTTATTCGTTATTTGTTTAAGTACAATTATGAAGGTCATTTTTTAAAACTAATGAACGTACCCATTTGAATTAATTTAATTTAATTTATTTTTGATATCTATAAATAAAGTAACTAAGAGATCTAGTAACATTTTGTTCAATTTTACTACTTATTTGACAGTAGCATCTTATAGAAAAAAAAATATTTTATTGAAAAAAACATGGATTGATTGAAATATTTATTTAAAACCCAAACAAAGGATTAGTCAATTGATTGATTGATTAGTTTTTGATTTTTTTCCATACTTCAAAATTAAATAAAATCAATTTAGCATACCATTTTATAAAACAAAAATACCATTTTACCTCCTGTCATTCGTTGACATTTTTACCTGGGCCATTTTTTCTAGAGCCTTTTTTACCGGGGCAATTTTTTCAGGGGTCGATTTTCCGGGGCCAATTTAATACAGATTGATTAAATAATGCCAATTATTGATCAAAGGCGCTAAACACAACCTTCTCTGCTCCCTGAGGAGATACGTAGTCCTGTGTGTGTGTACTCAGCACACAATGCTCCATCGTATCAGGTTACCCATTAGGAGACAAGCGACTTGCACAGCGAGGGTTTCGAAACGCTGACTTCAAGGATGGTAGTCCAAGCCACATCCGATACGGTACATTAAGTAATTGATTAATAAACTTATTGATTGTTTGCTTGACTTTTGGTTGACTGATTGATCATCGATCGATCGATTTATTGATTTATAGATAGTACGTAGCAATGTGATAGTTGGCCACATATGTTTTGAGCATTTTACTACTAATGAAAATTTGTAGGCCTATAGTAATAAAATACGACTTATTTTAAAATAATAATATTTTCATAAAATGTTATTATCCGACGTAAACAATTGTGGAGGCGGTTTGAATTTAAGATCCATCGGATTGATGATTACCGGCATGTAAAGTTATGAGAGCTCTGTTTCTCTCTCCAACCATGGAGGAATTAGAACGGCTTCCACGGGCTTCGTTTTTTGTATTAAAGTGAAATTTGAAATGAGTTAGTCACTAGTAGCAGTGGCGAATTCCAGGGGGCGGGGCAGCCGCCACCCACCCCTCCCCTCTCCTCCTATTTTTTTTTTTCAAAATTATAAGAAAAAAAGAAGAAAAAAAAAAAGATTTTAGGAACATATCTGTCACATTGTTAAAACTCAATAATTCGTAACCGGGTACAAAGTTGTCTCCCTATCCCCATACAAGTTGAGAACTCAATGGCATATCTAGGAGGTTCCCCCCAAAAATGTAACGCATCTCCCAGTCGCCCCAAAAAAATCGCAGTCAGGTAGATAAAATATTAAAAATGACCTCAAATCACCTGGTTTGCGAGCTAGCAACTCCTGACATAATTATTGAGCCCCCGTCCACTTCACCATCCCCCGACCCCATTATCCCTGATTTCAAGACTCCTAGAGACAACACTGTCAATACCAAGTTCAAAATGAAGGGGATTGCTACACATGAATTAATGATGGTTGAAGTTGATGATGCGGGGGCGGATGCAGGATTTTGCGGTAGGGGTGCGTGAGGGTCCACCTCACTGCCCCCATCATGGTTGGGGTTAAGGGGATAGAAAATGTTGAGAATATGGAACTCTCAGGCGCAAGGCGCGAAACCAGAGTTTTAGCTGGGTTTCCATAGAATCGCTCACCTTATCGACGACAGTGAGTCGTGAGAGTTCACAGACGAATCGAGGTGCCTTCCCGATTGCGTAGGGCATCTAGCAATGCACCCTGATTCGTCTGCGTCTGCAACGCAATCGGAAAATTTGAATCAGGTTCAACCTTCCCGACAACTGTCGGCGTATCACCGATAGGGTGAGCAATTATATGGAAACCGAGCTTTACCCTGACTATTGCACGTAATGGGGTCCTTCAGTGGGCGGGGTCATGGGAAGAGAACGTAATGTTTGCTTGTTCCGTCGCCGGAAGTCTATTTTAGACATGGGTGGGGCGGGTTGGGGGGGGGGTGCTTCGCGGTAGTCTTGGTGCTCTCCTAGCTTCAGAAAGTTTTGTTTTTTTCTAGATGCTGAGAAATGCACTTATCGTGCATTACTAGACTTCTATTGTGAATGAATACACACTGAATTAATAGTTCTCCCCCATTTTACCATGGAAAATTAATATTGCGATGATGAAGATGATGATGATGATGATGATGATGAGGATGATGATGATGATGATGATGATGATGATGTGATATGATAAGGAGGAGGGGGCATCGTAGCAGGTGACAACAGGCTCCTGTGAAAGGTTAATTAACAGGCCCTTTGATATGAGTGTCAACCGAGGCTCATATCCCGAGTTCGTCGTCACATTTTCAATGCACACAATCAGACAAGAGTAATATTCTACAATTTATATAATTCTCGTCTGTCATGAAAATATCATATATCTAAAAAATTACGTTATATGCAGGCTCGGAAGCGAAAAGTTTAACATAAAATTTTGATAGGCCTATATGTTTCATGTTGTTTGTTGAATGGTCTTTAATGATATTATATTCTAATATGACCACAACATAAGGAAGAACACTTTGTCATCTACAAATTCAGACCCATATACATTTATATTTCCTTAGGCCTACATCACAAGGAAGTCCGCTCTATATCCAAATTTCAGGAAATTATACGTTTTATACATGCACCGACGTGGAAATTTTGTTTTATGTTTTTTGTTGAATGGTCTTTTAAAAAAATATTACAGTCTAATATGACCACAAGATAAGGAAATTCATTTTTAAAATTTTTAATAGATAGTACATAGAATTATTATTGTTTATCAAAATCATTATACACATATTAAATCCAATTAAAAATAAATAAATAAATAAAAAAATACGTTTTGAGTGTACGCGCCGACGTGGAAGGATTAACGGATTAAAAGGATTTCAGCAAAAATAATAATGCATTTTTATTGTACCGCCACCAGCTGGGAAAGTAATTAAATATGCATAGATGTCTTCTGTGATTGGTTGATTGCCAACATTTCAATGCTTAGTGGTTGGATGGTCGGATATGCATAACTCTCATAATAATTTCATATTTCGAAAAATTGTTTGGAGTATATGATCACGTTCCATGATAGATTACATCCAAGGGTGCCCCTAAGCCAAAATTTTAAAGCTAAATAAATTGCGTTTTAAATCGTAGAAAATCATAAATTTATATTCAGTACTGTACATTCTCGACTGTCTTGGAAATGTGGACCTTATCAAATTTGGTTGGGTGCGTTATACACACACTTCGTAACATCCCACCTACAGGATATACGGTCCTGGAAACTTTACATTTTACCTGCCAATTAATACAGTATTTATACGCTTATTAGATATCTTCTCAATTTCTTGGTATTTTTTTTAATTACTTTTCCACTTCTAACGCTGTATGATTTGAAATTTACATACCATTAAAGTCGTTGCTCTTCTTTTTTCAGTCCCTCATTTTTTACTTTCTTTTAGATGTACCGTATTTAAGTGTGTTCGTAAGTTTTAAGCTCTAGGTCTACAATTAGGCTACCAACTCCATTAAATACTTGCTTTTTTTGTTTTTTTTTTTGTTTTTTTTTTTTGTTTTCTGATTTTTTTGAATTTTGATTAATGAATAATAATTCATTAATCAAAAAGTAATAATTAAAATATGTTTTCGCTTAGGTGTAATTTTCGAATAACAAAATATAATAAAATTATATATGCCTTTCAATAAGGTTATAAAAATCAACGCACATGGATAGCCTATTCTCCCTGTGATTGAAAATTTGTATTAACCATACATTGTGACATAAATCATAATAATAATAATAATAATAATAATAATAATAATAATAATAATAATAATAATAATAATAATAATAATAATAATAATAATAATAATAATAATAATAATAATAATAATAATAATAACAATAATAATAAATAATAATAATAAAAAAAGAACTCAACATGATCGCGCAGCCGATTTAATTGCAGTCCCTCTTTGAATAATACTTAGACAATGCAAAAAAGTTTATTTTCTCTATAGGCCTATATTTTTGTCTTTGGTTTAGGTAGGTGGCATTTCTGACAGTTCGCCAGACCACCAGGCACTGCTTTTTATTGGCAAACGGTGGGAAGAGGTCTGGATCCGCGCCTACCTCTAGGTGCCGGGAAATTGCACTCTCATACCTTACAACAATACAATCACAACAATTATTTTTCTTAATACAATTTAAGGGGATGCGACCGCACCCTCTGCACCCCCTCTGCATCCGCCCCAGTGATGACAAGTTTGTTTAATAATGTTACTATGGTAATTGTTGATATAATTTTGTTCCACCATGGAAGCTGTATGCATGCAAATCTCAATAGACGGAATATCAATCCAAATGGTTCCTATCGGGATAATTTACTTGTATAGTACTATATACCATATAATTATAATACGATTTGTTCGTAGACCTATTATTATTCGCATTGGCCTATTTATTCTCTTTGATTTTTTATTTTTCATGTTTGGATTTTGTTAAGTTTTCTTTTTATGGACGCACCGTTACGTACTGTTGCAAAAGTGTCGATATATTCATATTAATTTTAGGTCAGTGTTGTACCTGGGAGTTGTTATTTAGATAAATAACAACTCCCTGGTTGTACAATTAATTAAAGCTTAGCCTATTTAAACAAAAATATGAAGGAGCACATATATAAATTCAATATAATAGATATCAAAATATAAAACATAATTAAATATCAAAATCATTATTTTATAAATTGGGCCTCGTACTATCATTCAGAGAAGGTGGTAAGCAATGTGGATCTCAGGCATTCTAGCTATAGGCCTACTACCAGTAATTATAATAAATAATTAAATGAATTCCAATGTGTTAAAATAATATTAATACCATGTAGAACACATAAATGAGATGTAATACAATTAGTATTATTACTAGTTCCAATATTAGTAGTAATTACTATTATATATTTTAGTCATTATATGTAGGCCCTACTGTACTTGGGCTTTGGGACACTAAAAATAAAGTGATTAAAAAAAAAATAATAGCGCCACCATTTGTTTCATCTGTGCATTAGACTAATGCCCAGCCTACGAAGGAAAAAACCATTGATTTTATATTTCCTTTTCCTTTATATTCAAGGAAAAACCTTACAATTCCTTAAGAATAGGTAGGATAGGTATATAAATTCGCTTATAACGTTAAGCGTGATAACGCTAAGAGATTTGGCATCTGACAACCTACAATCAATTTTCCGAATGTGTCTGGAGCAAGGGTGGCCGTCATGTATCCGGAAGTGCTAAGTTTTCCCAGTACAAAAGATTGTCGGATGGAAAACATGCGAAAAGATGTGAAACCTTTGATAATAACAAGATTGTATGGATACGTTTGTTTGACCTATGGACTGAATTCGAAGCGACTAATGAGCATTACATCAGATTGTGGAAGAAGGAGGGATTTTAACCTGTAGTCCCGTGTCCTGGAGGTCTAGCTAGCCTTGGGCTAGGCGTGTTGCGGCTGGATAGGATGGGTAACAAACACTCATCCTCGCGCTGCTGTTGTGCTTTCTCTAGGCGGACCCCTCTGAACAATAAAGATCCGAGTAGTCCTAGGGAGATAACTTACCAACATCAAGATGGTGGTTTAAAGGTTTCTTCTGTTGAAGTGGATAGCGTCAATCAGTTACCACATATAAGTGACAGAGAACCTGCAGATGAGGAAGGTTTGTTTTGAGAATTTATCATCTAGCCTAGCTAGGCCTACTAGGCTAACTAGGATGGCTGAGGCTTCTATCGGCACTGCGGCAGTGCCAAAAAGCTGCTGTTTTTCTATCGGCACTGCCGCAGTGCCAAAAAGCTGCTGTTTTCTATTGGCACTGCCACAGTGCGAAAAAAGCTGTTATTTTCTATTGGCATTATTGCCGATTGGTAATAGGCCTACCTATTACATATTTCTATAACTTAACAATTATCTCATTAATCACACTGTCGTAAATACAGTAGGCCTATTGAAGCATTATTGAAGTATTATTAATTATTCACTAAAGCATTATTCGAGCACCTTTATTATTATTATTATTATTAATTTTTTTTATATATTATTTATCAACCAGATTAACATTGAAAACATGAATATGCATATGTGCATAAAATTATCGCAGAAAATAAACTTATAATTTAAAAGATTATTTTTTAAAACAGAATCAAATAGATAACGTTTTTATTTAAAAGCAGGTTTTGCATGGACGTAATTTTATTTAATATGCTGATTATTACTCATTAATCAAACTATCATAAAATTATTATTATTTGTTTATTTTTTGTTTTGTATATATGCCTAGGCCTATAAATATATATTGTATACATTTAATAATTTAATTAGAAATAATTATTTAAACTAATTGTTAAACAAATATAATATAATGTTTATAATGTTAATAATATAGGCTAAGCTAGACCTAATCAATTATTGATATAATAAAGGCAAATATTTAGAACATCATTAATACAACACCATTATGACATTGAAGTGCAGCCCTCCAAATCTTGTTTTAATAAATAACTGAATTCACTTTAATGATATATTTTTATCTTCATTCATTATTAATATTATCATTTACTTTTTATTATTATTTATTTATTATTATTATTATCTGTATTATTATTATTATTATTATTATTATTATTATTATTATTATTATTATTATTATTATTATTATGTCTTTGCCAGTAACATTATCATTGTTTCTCTGGAAGGCATCTTGTACAGGGACATGTTTTTGCCTAACCAGTCTCATTACGTTTTGAGTGAAATAAAATTATGAATTATGAATTATACCAATGTCATCTATCGATAAAAACATTGATTCGATTAATTAACAGCAGCTTTTCGCACTGTGGCAGTGCCGATAGAAAACAGCAACTTTTTGGCACTGCAGCAGTGCCGATAGAAAACGACAGCTTTTTGGCACTGTGGCAATGCCGATAGAAAACAGCAGCTTTTTTTGGCACTACGGCAGTGCCGATAGCCACTACCAACTAGGATAGTCTAGGCCGGGCCTAGGCCCTAGGCCTACCACTCTAGGGGGAGGGGTCTAGGCGGCCTACCCTCAGTCCTAGTCTAGACTTAGCCAATCAAAAGTTCTTTTTTAGATTGTAGGCCTATGAGAATTAGGACTATGTGTGTTGACAAACCTAGATCTGGCCTCTGTAGACTGTGTTGAAACTCACTGTCATTGCCATCCCTGATCTGACTGCTAGTATTAGTATTAGTATTTAGATACGCTATTCATAGAAAACTATATCATAGCGTTTACAGAGTTGAATAATGATTTGAAGCAATAAGCTCAAGTTAATTTTGAAAAAAGATATGTTTTCAGTAGTTTTTTAAAAGATTCAACATTATTTGTTGTTTTAATAACTGTAGGGAGTTTATTCCATTCTATGGCCGCTGTTACACTGCTAAATGCATTATCGGTCTCGCAAATTAATAAAGCTAAAAAAGTAGCAAACCACTGCTCATTTACCATGCATATTTACAAGTACAATAATATTTTTTATACTTATTCTTTCTATTTATTTTATATTTAATTTATATTTAGAATTAAACTTTTTTCAGTGTTTGTGTATCGTAGTCCCTCGCATATCAATAAGCACGTCGCCTACTTCATTCATGCCCAAATTAACTAGGTTTTCCTTGGGAAAAATCCAGGCTATGATCATATCACCCAGAATACAAACAAACAAATAAAACAAAAAGAAGATACTAAATTAAATCTTAACAAATTGAACTTCACGCAAAATATTATTATTCATAAATTTGTAATTATTTAGTTGAATAACCAATGGAGTATTCGATTTCGATTTATTTCACAAAGTCACATTCATGTTCACATGTGTAATTTAAGGAATTATAATTAATTGGACCCTTTTAAATGATGAGATAATTAATTCTCAAAAAAAAAAAATAAATAAAATGAAGAAAAACTTTAAAATCTAATCAAAACTCTCAAGTAATGTAATATATTTCAAATTAGGTCAGGTCAAATGCTATATCAAGAAAAGGTAAGATGTAGACCCTATACCGTATATTGTCTGTGATTACACTCTGCCCTATACTATCCTTTCCCGAGTCATATGAAAGCTACACATTGCAGTACCCGCTGCTTACTTGGACTTGAATTCAACCCTGGCCATCAGGCGCAAGCTCGGTGGTATAGAGGTATGATGCCAGGCTAGTGATCTGGAGATCGTGGGTTCGAGTCCCACTCGAGAACAAATTGCGATTTTTTTTCGCAGTTGTTTTCACACATATTTAATATTTAGTATGTACATTTTCACGCCAGGTACTGGTAGGGCAAAAATTATACCTACAGTATAGCTAACACATTGTTATTGTATATAGTCTTGGCTATTGTACAATAAAGGTGTTACATAATAATGTATCTTGTAGTAACTAGTAAGTTAACTCCATTGGTTTACTTCATGAAATATGTGAGAGCAGATTGCCATTGATTGTTCAGTAGTCATGGCATTCTTAATTTTATTTTGTATTCATTTTTGGTGAGTTGCTCAATTACTGTATCGGTCTTGTTTTGTGCTTCGTGAATTTGATGTTGTTTTATGTCACTTTTGTATAACAACTCGGCAGGAAAGCAGGCTCACAGCCAGCAATTTTTGATCGATGTTGCTACGCTGGTTGCAGCATGTTATTGGATAGTGCAAGTTACCGTACATTTAGCAAACGGGAGTTACAGTAAGATACAGTACCATATCTCCAGCCACGGCTTTAATTTAACAACAACTTCGAAGCTGATCGAATAATTATGGCATTTCTGGAAAAGGTGGTTCTTTTGACCCCTGGCTATGTGCTTGCATGTATTCATCGTTTAAAGGCATCTGTTTAATTTTAAGACATGCATTTAGCCTAATATGTTGTGCACAGCCCAATTTTCCATTGAAATAATTTATTTAATCGAGCTTTTCAGTTTTGTTTTTGGAAATATTAAACTGTAATGAAGCAGGGACCATGAACATTAAACCAGACTTTACTTCTGGGGCGTGTTAAAACAATCAAAGGCAATTAAGTGATAAAAAATGCTCCCTGCTACTAACACATGCTGCTTTTGCTCCTCCAAAAACACTAGCCTGGTTCACGTCGAACTTTTATCTAGATATAGATCGACTTAACTAGTTAAAAGTTTGACGTGAACCAGTCAATTATAGCTTGATAAAGGCTTAAGTCACTGAAAGTTAAGTGACTTAACTTTACTAGAATAACGGTAAATTAACTTGCTTAACGGTAAAGTCGGCTCGGATTACAAAGACACAATTACATAATGTAGGCATCTACTGTAAGCTAGTGTTGTTGTGTTGCACCACCATTATCATCCTCTGGCTGGCAACAGCTTACTCCAACAATGCTAACAACAGCAGCAAAGTAGTCTTATTAGTCAGGTTTTCAGAAATTATTTGTAAAATTATGGGTAAAAACCCAGCAAATTGGAAATGGCCGTTTCCGGATTTATACCGTGTTAGACTCCACAAAAAACTCGCCCGAACGCACCCTTAGACAGTTGGAAGATTTAAAAAGAAATCGGTTTTATTAATAAATTTTATAATTGGTGCCCATTTTATCTACCTGTTTGATGTCATTTTTTTCTGGGGCTGTTTTTACCTACATTCAGCTAAAGTGTTTTGATCTAGATCTTACCACTCATGATGTATTCAGGCAATTCTTGATTTAGCAGTAATCTTTGAAAGCCTACTAGATTACATACGCTCAATAAATCAATGATAAATGGTACAGTCTGTACCGCTTAAGTGCCTTACAAATTTTAAACAATACTGATACACACGATTAAAACGAGATTGTAAATAGGACCTTCATTTTGCCAGTTGTTGGATTCAGAGTTAGATTTCTAAAGAGATTTTCTAAACCTCATTTTACTGTGTTTTGAATTTCTAATGTGCTGTTAAACTTGGTTTCCATAGGATCGCTTGCCCTGTCTGCGACCGTCACCGACAGTTGTTGGGAAGGTTAAACCTGGTTTAACTTTGCCGATTGCGTTGCAGACGAATCAGGGTGCCTTCCCGATTTCGTCAAGGCAGCTAGCAATGTACATGGATTCATCTGCAACGCAATTGACAAAGTTGAACCAGGTTCAACCTCCCTGACAAGTGTCACGACGGTTGCCGATAGGGTGAGCCATGGAAACCAAGCTTTACTGTACTAACAATCTAAAAGATAAAAGAGTGTTATTGTAAATAATTCAATATGCTTCCTGTGTCTTAACTTGAATTTTTCTTACTGATGTTTTCCTTTTGTCTAATATGCAAATTGACATCACTAAACAATGTTTGGTTTTTTTTTAAATAATTTATTTTATCAATGTTCTCCATGTGTATTATGATTTAAAAAAAAACAATTGATAACATTTGTTGGGCTATATATTGTACAGTAGTTACAAGTAATAGTTGATGCTGGAGTCATTTATAAACATATAACATATATGGTTGGAGGGTGCAAACAAATTCCGTCTCGAGGCCTTGTGTAACTGATATTGTACTCTATAATTAAAATTTTATTATAAGCTTATTGCTATATGAACATTTTGTCGTTCATCGTGCCATGTATAATTTGTGTATTATTTTCTTTTCTCCCTTTTTTTAAACATACTTTTTGTGTTCTGTTTAAATGCTATCCAGGCAAAAGAAAGAATAAATAAATACTGTACTTCACACTTCACAAACTTATACACCATCAGTTTTCCTTTTCTCATGATGTAATATCATCACCTCATTTGCAATGTGTGAAACATAATAAGTATATGTTATTTGGAATTATCATTCACATTGATACGATATCATGTCTTTGTAATGGTATGTTTACTCCTGAATTTATGTCTAACTTGTACATCCATTTAACAGTGCATATTTGTACAGGCACTGAAATGCGGCTGCCAAGGGTCCTCGAGTGGGACCCAGCCAAAATTTACTATTTCAAATATTTTGTATTAGACGAAAAAGAAAATTTATATATTTATTCAACTTCTTAATGTGTATAAGAGAAAATTTATTATTAAGGAAACTAATAGTTACAATTCTCAATTTTATTTTTTTCTTAATAGATCCTTCACTACATCCAGGACCACGGACCATGTTTTTAACCCTTTTCCCCAAGAAAGGTATGTTGTTTTTGACTACAGTATTTATCTCATCTAATCTAGAGACCTAATTTATGAAAGGCTGCTTAAGGGTGGTTCACAATTACCAACATTTTCAAAAGTGTACAAACAGTTTGGTAGCAGGGAGGTGGGTAGACAACTTTGTGCACTTTTTTTACATATGCATGAAAATGTTGATTCAAAATTACATGCAATATTCAAAATAATAGATATTTATGACTAATTTTTTTTGCAACCATGGATGTAAGACATTTTTATGCAACCAAGTACAGTACTGTACTTTAGTTGACATCACCAAAAAATACTGCATTATATTTAATAAATTTAAGATCAATGTAAAAAAATATAACTAAACAGTTGATTTCAAATAAATTTTTGGGTGTTATCCAGAAATAAGAAAAAATAAACCGTGTCATGAAGCAGTAAAAATGAAAGCGTAGCAATTTGAATAAACACTACTCTAGCTTGTATATTAAATCATTGTTATTGGGTTACTGTACTGTAACCATGGAGATAGAATTATATAATTGTGATTATCCTATTTTGCGGTGGTATCATTAACAGAATCCATTGTGTGATGTTATAATTGTGAATTTGACCAACCTATGTTGATATTAGCTTAAAGTTCTCATTAATTATCCTGACCTTTAAATACAGTATATAGTGTATGGTGTTAATATCATTATTAATTATTGATTAATGTTACTAAAGAAATTCATCATAAATTTTTGTTGGTATTCCTTAAAAATGAGGAGTGGTTTTAGGAGTTTGTAAATCCCACACTGTTACTTTTGATTGTGTCTTTGGACAAGGCACTTTATACATGTTGGCTATTCCTTTGTTCAGGAATATCAAATGTGTTCTACAGTTATCTGTACGAAATACAAAATTAAAAATGTTAATATTAATATTCTCCCTGGAGGCTTAAAATGTGTTAACAATAACCTGGGTAATAATAATGATACAAAGCTCATTTAGCGACTGGTATGTCTTATTAATGTATAAAGTGTTAAGGTTTCTTTCTGCACAATGACTTATATTGTATGAAAGCCTTTCTGAAGTTGACTTGATAATCAAGTCACTCTATTTTTTATTAAAATTTAGTTTTTTGTTTCTTAGCTTACTACAATTTTTGCTCTGTTGTTGAATCTTCTCTCTTTTATTTGCTTGTACTGTAGTACAGTATGTTCTTGTATTTATATTAACAGATTTTATTTTCTTTTTATGTTGGCTGATTGTTTAACAGACATATAGTCGACTTTGATGTCCCCATGCCAGCGTATTTGATTTTTTCCATCTTGTTTATTTTCTTAATTGAAGGGCATGATCGCAATAACAGAAACCATGGCGGTGCTCTAAAGCGATGTAGTTCATGTTCGACCATCTACTTAGATGATAGTACTGTTAGTCAGCCAAATTTAAAAGCAACCATCAAATGGTAAGTACTTCTTAATGTATCAAATGATTGAGTTTTTTCTAAAAGCCTGATTTTATCTGTCAGATTTAAAAGTGTTTGATCAAACTTTTATAGTGTATGTTTCAGATATGTTCCTAATGTAAAACAAATCAAACTTTGTCATGTCTGTTGAGATAGTGACTCTAACAACCATTATTGCCTTAATCTTTCTCTAGGTTCAATGTCTGACCAAGGAAGTTTTTTCTCACATGTTATATATAAATTATCAATGTCATAGAAAGTTTTAATTCAGTGCAATGCTTATTCGAGACTATGAATACCCCCAGAAATTTAAAAGAGCTTCACATGCTATGATTTCTAATACCGAAAGTGCTAAACGTAAATGCCTTTAATTAGTTAGTATCACTCATTATTATTCTATCTTATGTTGCTTTATATTCTCACAGTTTCTTTTGCATCCCTTTAAATTGTGTGATATTTCAAGTGATTCTACTGATATAATAAAAAAATTGTCATATTGTTAATTCTTGTCTTCATTATTGATTGATCTCTAATTGTTATTTTAACATTTGGTGGAATTATAATTACATTCAGCTATCATCGTACAAGAAAGTACATTACAAAGTCTCAAAGGTATTAAAGTTAAATGGCCACTTGAAGTGTCAGATCATTCGTAGCAAAAGTTAAATTCTCTCTGGATTTCACATCATTGTACCTGTACTATAGTAAAAAGGCATTATGATTCTCATCGGCTCTATACAGACACCGCATCATTTGAGGCAAGTTGAATATCTAATGGCCGTATCCATTCCAGGAATGGTGGGGTGCCAAAATGGACCCCACAGCTTTGTTTTTTCATTACTACTATGCCAGAATATTGGCCTAAAGATAGATTGCTGGTTAAAATGTAAGATTTAAGATTTCATTTTAATCTCTATTAGTACTCTATTACTAAAAAATAATTTTTATATTCACAACATTCTCAATTTAGGGGCGGATTTAGAGGGAATCCGGGCCGACCGCGGCCCCCTTTTCGAAAGATAAAACACAAAGAAAGAAAGAAAAAGAAATAATTGATCGCCCAAAATGCCTGAGAGGTTATTTTCGAGCGTCCAGAAAACAAAGAACTCACAGGGGATTTGCCACACCCTAGTGTAGCATTGTCTCAATCGGCCCCCATTTTCAGCCCCCCTCCCTTTCGGACATTTCTGGATCCGCCTGTCACTTGTCTTAAAAGTGTGGAACTTTTCTGATTTGGCAGGGGAATAAGGGGATAGTGCATAATGTACATGTACACACCCATTGTATCCTTCCCCAGGATACAGGCGTTTATTTTACTACTGTATTGTATAAAAACTTCACAAATCCTGTGTACAAACATTTAGAATCACAGGATACTTTTGTATGTACATTTGAAACATTTAATGCAACAATCTGGTATTTCTACAGAAGATTGTATTTTGAGCCAGCCAAAGGTCTCAAGTTCAAATTTTACATGAAACATTATCTAATCAATCTAAACCTTTTTATTATTATAATGAGAGGTTACAAAGTTCACATGTTTAATTCACATGGATCTGATTTCCATTTATTAATGCCCTAAGCAAATATAAGCACTTCCCCTCACATCCAACAGAGCGAGCTCAACAGCTACAGGATGGAAGACAGGTGCGGATCCACAAATGTCTGAAAGGGGGTGGGAGCGAAGGTGGGACTGATCAAGATAACACTACCCTAGGGGGTCTGGGGAATTCCCATTCAAAATTTTATTTTTCCGGACACCCGAAAATAAGGCCTAATGCGTTTCGGGTGATAATTTTTTTTTTTCTTTCTTTTCCTGCTTTTTATTTTCCAAACAATGGGAGCTGGGCCACCTCCCACCCCCATATACACCCCTGGAAGTGATCCTCTACTCTCTCTAATACCTGATTCACACATAGAATGAAATCTAACAAAATGTAATAATTATTGTTATATAGATACCACCTTGGATATTCCTGCCTAGGTTAATTATAATTATACACATAATTTCTATACATGCAAAAGCCATATAAAAATCTGATTTGGTAGAAAGCTATACATTAACAGATCTACCATGATTCAAATACGAAATACAACTTATCACAGTTTTCATCTAACTTTACATTTCATCAAACAGTACACATTGGGCATATGGATCCCACAATCAAGGATGAAAACCCAGGCCTGTATTCAGGGGGGGTCAGATGTCTCCTCCAAATGTGCAGAGCCACAACTGCATTGGTCCTTCTGTGACTTTTGGCTCATTTGCATGTCACTGTTTATTTACAGTTCCTTTTTCCAGTAGATTATTTTTTGGTTTTAGGACAGTAGTACAGATCACCAACACCCCAATTGGCTACCGTTAGAAAATAGTAGGAGCTTTGAACAAGAGAGCGTAACCCTAGCACAGGTTTCTCTCATTTGTTACTATCCCCTTGCATTCACAGCGCAGTTTAAAGTAGGTTCGGCCTAACCATGTGCTAGAATTCAGACAAGAACTCGGTCTATTGCTTGTGTCGATGACTCTGTGTGACGTCATTACATCCTAGATTTTATCTTCATCGCACAATCAAAGCCCCTCTCTTAGGGCCTACTTTGACCCATGGGAGAACAGTAAATTTCAGTGATTTGGCCCTTTAGTTTATTAATACTAGATAAGAAAATGTAATTTAATGTGCTGTACTTTCTGTAAACTATCTGGCAATGATCTCATATCTGTGTCATTGTACATTTCATACTAAGGTTTCTTTGCACATTGATTAAGTGGAATGTCTTTTGCAATTATCAGCTGTTTATAATTAGCTGTCTTCTAATTAACTTAAGGGACCATTGATTATTTCCATCATGTTTGCAAGAGTACAAAACATACACTGTTGGAAAGATAGGTTAATAGTGTGTTCTCTTAATACAATTTTAATATCAAAGTGACAACACTTTTAATATCAAAGGTACAATCTTCATCTTATTGACTGTGTAAGCTTTTAAAGGAATTTGATGGTTATACAAAGGAATATAATTCTATGTTTTGTACTGTCTTTAAAATCAGGACCCCGTCTTTTTATATAGGCCCATAGTTTTGAAAATTTACTTTTGTTATTTTTTGTTGTAAATATTCTGTGAAATTTTATTTATATAGTACCTTCATAATTTGATAAATTTCGACCAATTCATTAGTCTAGTAATTCAAGTCAAGTGTGAAATTCTTAAAATGTAGTTAAAAATCCCCTTACTTATCACCTTGCTCATCACCTTACTCATCACCTTATTTGCTATATTTTGTTCCCTCACTTAAAAGCCCTCAACCTTGATGGCGCTCCCTTTAATCCATATGTCAATTTTCCTAGATTTTATATACAGTTTGTATTATGCAAGTGTTTGTTGTGGCTGTCACAAGTCAGCATAATTGAACATCACACATGCCTAAAGTTATTTAGACAATAAAAGTGTTGGCTTGAGTATTTACCTTGTTGAAGCAGGAAATAATAATGTGTCTGAATAGACAAATTGCGTACAGTGCTTGCATTGAATAAACTTGTAACAGGAAAATATGTGCAAACTTTAATCAGGAAGTGTGAACACATATAACACCCACCTTTTAGACATCTTAACTAGTTGCTGGTACTAAACTAACAAAAGTCCTCTAACATAGAAAGCACTTTATGGCTGAAGTACAGTACAATACTGTAAACTGGTTTAATGAACTTTCTTACCTATCTTATTGTATTTTGCTGCACGTGCTAAAATCATGTGCACAAATTTTCAATGAGACAATTCATAATACAGTTAGTAGGAAAATACCTCCAAACATCTTGACTTTGTGAAACATGGGTTAATTTCTGGTTGATGTTGGCTTGCTCTGGGAAGTGCTGGAGATCACGCCGATTACCTGGAGGCTTCAGGCCCTGGCAAATTATTACAAATTGCTATTTTGGATTGGATGCACAAACTACAGTATCAAAATATTTTAAAGACAAAAGTACACATCGGATGTATACAAGTAACATCATTAATTCTGTTATGCAAAATTTCCCCAGCAAATCAAGAACACAGTACACATAGGCTTTTTTTAAATTTCCATATTAATATTAAGTTCTGTCTAGATTGTCTTTGACAAAAAAACAAAACAAACTTATCTACCCATATATAGTCATGATGTGCCTGTATATGGTCATGATGTGATGTCATCATGACCATATATAGGCATGTCACATGTCAAATAAGATTTGATAGTCTGGACAGGGCTTAAGTCATCACATAAAATAGTACTCTGAGAACTCACAAATGCCTCTTGAAACATATAATTTCAAGTCTTCAGTATATTATTACAGTATTTATTATATTTCAGCATCCATGCTAGAATTTTTTAAAACTACTGTTTGTGACTTAATATTTTGACCATTTACAGTTGACTATTTCTAACTATGTTAACTATATGTTCATGATTACCGTTCCTTTCAGTGTTGCTCTAGCGATTTATTACCTTATACGAAACAGAGAAGATAACCGAGGTTTGAAAATATTTGATGAGAAACTCCATCCTCTATCTGTAAGTTGCTTTATAATTATGTTAAACTATCCCTCTACAGTATTATGTAAGGCAAGCTCTCACTTCTGTCTTTTAAGATCAACTATCCCCTCTGTAAGGAAAAAAAAACCCATACTGTAAGCCAATCCATCCTATATATGTGTAAATCAAACTAACCCACTGCAGTTGAACTATTTTCAATGTATAAAGTCAAAATACTCAATTACTACCCATCTATATGCAAGTCAGACAATAATAATAATATAATAATAATAATAATAATAATAATAATAATAATAATAAAAGACTTTTAAAGCACCCATATCCATTGCTGTGTAGTGCTCAAGGCACAAAAGAAGGAAGTTCACCAAAATCAATGTACTGTAAACATAAAAGCTACCAGACGAGAAACACCATACACATCACCACATCATTTATAGGCAATTTGAGGCACAAGGGCCAGTCATAACTCGCAGGTGCTCAAGTAATGGGGGATTCAACTAAACAACACCCTCTAAGTTCACCTAACCTCTTTGTCTTTTAAGGTAAACTACAGTACCTCTCTATCTTTATGTCATACCGCCCTCTGTAAATCAGACTACCTACTCTATCTTTTTAGTCAAACAACCCACATGGCCCAGTAAGTTACTCTATCAAACTATCCCCCTCTATATTTGTTTCAAATTAATTCTACTGTTAATTTTAAAAGCTCCCTCTACCCCTCTATATATGAACCAAACTATCCCCTCTATAAGTGAACCAAACTACACCCTCTATGTGTGTTCCAAACTACCTCCTCTATGTATGAACCAAATTATCCCCTCTATGTGTGAACTTAACTACCCCCTATGTGTGAACCAAACTATCCTTTCTGTAAGTTCTGTAAAACTGCTGTACCCCTCAGAATTACCCAATATTTAGGTTTAAATAGCACCCTTGATAAATGTAAGGCCAACTTTCGCCACTAATGTATCTTTAACTATTCCTTCTTTATGTAAGTTAATCTAGTCAGACTACCTCATCTGTAATTTACCATGTCATGGTTTTTAAGTCCAGTTGCTCCCTCTATCTGTAAGTCTTCTGTTTACTGACCAATTTTTTTTTCAATGACAGCACTTAACAGTAAATTGAGTTAGTAATGACTTACATTAGTCAATATAACCTTTATCTCTTAAAATTGCTCAAGCAAGGCCTTGATATAATGAACGATCACATAGAGATTTGAAAAGCATAATGCGTGACACATTCACAATTCAAGGTGATTTTCGTGTGATCATGTTAAGGATGACTTCATGATAGTATATAATCCATGAACGTTTTTTTTTTCGATCTTGCTTTCCAGAGGGACTCATTGCCCGATGATTACGCAACGCGTAATCCTGAACACAAGCATATATACAAGTTCATACGTCTGCTGTTCAACGCGGCTCAACTCACGGCTGAGTGTGCTATAGTTACATTGGTATGGTTCACCATTTATGTTTTATTAAGCCAGGCACAAACTGCATCATATGATGGTCGGCCGCCGAAATCTACCTCTGCTCTCTGTCAGCGTTTGACAACGTGACACTCTCTGCTAATTGTCGATGGCAGTCCAAGCGGATTGTCATTAAAAACAATTCATTGTGCGTGCGTCATCGCCTTGCATTCTCCATGAAACCATGTCGACTGCTGACCATCAGGTGCAGTATCTGCCCGTCTTTTGTCTGTATTCAACTTGAACCATGCAATAAGTAGAGTTGGTTTTATTCATGCATAAACATTTTGAAGTACATATGATTTGAACCAATGACTTGAGGGTTAAAAGGCACAGCATGTATCTGACTACTTTTTCTCATTACTTATATCTATGTCAATTTCATTATTATTTTACTATCCCTCTCTTTATCCTTATTCTTCAATACTTTTTGTTTATGCTGAACTGATGTTGTCTACAATAAGGTATTATATATTATTGTGGAAGCATGGAGTTTCCTGCTATAAAAATTATCATAACAAATTGAAGATAGTTAAAATGTCATCTACATTATTTTTTCTAAATCATATTTATTGAGGCCCTTCCACTGGAACCTAGATAGAAAGTCGGCTGGTATTCATGGGCCCTCTTAAAAAGTGTGATGTTTTATAAAGTGTCATTACAAGGCATAGAAAGTTAAGATGTGTTTAAGTCGTGAGAAAATATTTTGTACCATCATAGGAAGTGAACCTAGGACCCTGAGATTTGAAGGCAGGCATCTGCATTTATTGTGTTTTCTTTTTTTCCCAACAGGTGTACATAGAAAGATTATTAACTTATGCTGATATTGATATCATTCCATCAAATTGGAAGAGGACCGTATTAGGCGCAATTCTTCTAGCGTCCAAAGTGTGGGATGACCAAGCAGTTTGGAACGTGGATTATTGCCAGATACTCAAGGAACTGACAGTGGAAGACATGTATGTGCTGGCTCTTTATGTTAAATTAGTGGGGGAAGGGAAGGGGTGTTAGTCAGGAGAAGGTACAGCAGTTGTCAGGGAAAGGGGTGTTATGTGAAAGAAGATATTGCTCAAGGGAGGGATGGTTGGTAGTCAGGAAAAAATATTGGTCTGTGGAGGGATGTTTTCTCAAGGGAAAGGTATAAGATAGTGTAGGTATGTTAGAAAGACATACCAGTAATGGCAAGGGTTTTAGTCAGCGGAGAGGTGTTAGTAAGGGGAAAGGTGTTCATAATTCATAATTTTATTTAACTCAAATAAGAGACTGATAGGAACAAAGGGAACTGTTCCCTGTACAAAGTAACTATCAGAATAACATAACAATTCAATAATAAATAGCACAAAGTCAGTAGGCTAATGTTACGCTTAAGTCAATACAGTAATTAGCAACAATAAAAATAAATAAAAGAAGAAAATTAATATAAAATAAATAAAAAATAAAAATTAATAAAAAAATAACTACGTAAAAAAAAATAAGAAATAAATAAATAAACAAGACAATAAATAAATAAATAAATAAATAAAAGATGCAATTAATTGGCTTAATAATGCAGGTGGTCGGGAGTTTTAAAAGAAGAGATGAAGGAGGATAAGCGTGTATTAATTAGAAGTCTGTTCTAGATGATTGGAATATGATGAAAGAGTGAATAGTGGAGTGCATTGCATCGAGCAGGGGGGATGGTGAAGTTTGGGGTGTCAGGTTACAGGTGTTAGGTTTGTATTAGTCAGGTAGACATTTAGTATATAGAGGTATTAATAGTCAAGAAGTATTAGTCAAGGAGGGGGTATTAGTAGTTTAATGACGATGAGGAAGATTATAACGATGATGATGATGACGACAATAATGATAACGATAATGATGACAAAATTGATTGAAAATTAAATTTTCATAATAATAATATGACGGTTTCATATTTCTGTGATATCAAAAATTATTCTCAATGCAATTAAAAATGAATATACTTAATTTTTTTTAAAGGAATGAATTAGAACGTCAATTTTTAGAACTCCTTCAATTCAACATAAATGTACCATCAAGCGTATATGCTAAGTATTACTTTGACCTCCGAACATTGGCAGAATTCAACGATCTTCATTTCCCGGTAGAATCACTAACCAAAGACCGTGCGATGAAGCTTGAGGTAGGTGTCATTATTTCGTTGATGTATTTTCATACTTTTCTTTAGCACGTTGTTTGGCACATTATAACTCATCTGAGATATACATGCCAAATATTAAAATATAAAGATGGAGTTAAACAAATATTGTGAAAGTATGTGAGAAAATTAAGTGAAATATGATAGGCTTATTGCTATTATTCTTATTATTACTTTTATTTCCTTGGTAATTTGTAATACTAATTCATTTATTTAGTCCAATTAATATTTTAGTTTAGCTGTTTTTTAAATTTATTCTCATTTTATAGAGATTCAAATTACTGTTTGCTTCAGCTTATATGGTTTATTATATTTTTAAAACTAACTTTGACTTCTTGGTAATTTGCAGGCAATTTCCAGGCTGTGCGAGGATAAACTACAGGATAGTGTAGAGCTACCCCGTTCTCAGAGTGCAGATGCTATCACCGTTATGCCCCGCTTCAAGGCAGCCATCTTGTCATGACAGTTCCTCAAGTTTGTATTATGTCATTAGGACATAAGTCATTGACGCCAGATGCACATTGCCATGGCGCAGTAAAGCTAAGCTAGATCTTGCAGTGTCTGGTCATGCTTGGCTCAGCTGTGTATGGCTGTAGAAGGTTAGCCAGGTTATGTGGGGAATCTACCGTGTTAAGCCACAGAAATACCATCACTCATTGCCTGCCATGTGTTGTCTAATAACCTTCTATTAAGATCGTTGCGTTATTAACAATACCCCTTCCCTGGCAGGTTATTGGAAATGCTTTGCAATAATTTTCTGTCGTGTAAATGCTAGAGAGTCGATGCTTTTAGTCCACCCTAATGAACCATTTTTTTTAATTCAGAGTCACTACGAATTGTGGTCTTTACGTAATGAATGTGGTCGGCCACTCTACTCTGAGTTTGTTAAATGCTAGTGCATGTGCAATAACCATGTTAAAACCAAGAGTCATGTCATTCCTTTGCCAGTATTCCGTTACCTGGTATTGTGGGATAGCATGTTGTTATTAGTTGTCTGTAGGGTCACTCAGAAGTAGACTGTAATTTGATTTTAAATTGAAGCAGTTGATAACGAATGAAAATACACTGTAGTTGTACTTAGGTCCTCTTAGGGCCTAGATGCCCTAAGTTCTAGATTGATCTAGGTGAAAAGTCTTTTGCAGTTGGTACAAAATGGATGGTAAAATAATACATTAATGTATATTCGCATTTTATGATTCAGTATCTTGTGGTTTTCGTAATTGTTTTTTGTTTTCGATTGTGAAAATTATGTGTATAGCCTACTGTATATATCAGTGAGTTATGGCATAGGCTGTAAAGGAATTTGTTATTTAAATTAATGTAAATGAGAAATCGTGTTTAGCTATTGGTTTTGTATACTGAACTGTGAAATTTTCCAACGACCAAATAAAACATTTCCCTAAGTGTCGGTGAGGGCGCTATTTATCCTTAACTGCTGTTTTGTCCAGCCAAGTGTACTTTAATAGTGTTGTATGGTTTTAGAGAATGCCGCTGTCACAGAGAATTAATTTTAGTGTTTCACAGTTGTACCCAAGCAAATTTACCTCTTAATTGTACAGCATGGGTGACTTGCAATTCTAATATTGTAGCCTGCAAGACTTTGTCACTTCAGCCTTTTCTGCAGCCTATAAAACTAAGCTTGAGTTGCTCTCTTGACTCAAATCATCTGACATCAATTGACCTTTCGTAAATGGCCGATGATGAAGAGCAACCGTGGCGATATAAATATTTTAGCGAAAGAATGTAACTGAAGAATTGCCAGTTCTATACTTGCAGTTGTACATAGTTGCGCAATCGTGGGTGAAAATCAAGCCGAGTGCTACCAGCCACTAGTAGCAAGGGTAACATAAGCTTTGCTTTAGATTCTAACACTGTAGCCTACAAAATTTTAAAACTGCAATCTAATACCTACATTATTCTAAAACTTTAGCTTATAATATTGATATTCTAACACCTATTCTTACTAATTGATTTGCAAACACTATTGTGGTAAATTGAAAACCATACAAATTGTTAATTTGTAGGAAGTTTGCAGAAGAACTTTTTATCAGTACTATGATTACAATAGTATGATATGCTAATTATAAATATTTTTTGTAGCAAAGTAACACCTTAAACCTATTATTAACAATTTATGCAAAATTGTGTCTTTTTTCTTGCAATTACCATATGAAAATCATGATGGAAAAGCTCTACTCAAAGGCCACTAAGGATAGTTTAATTCCTGGGATGGGAGTTGATGAGTCCACCCTTTCCGCATGTTATCAACCCACAAAATCGATTGTTACCTTCTAAAGAAGACTTAATATGTTCACAATTCCAAATTATGTAGGCCTACATTATCCTTTTTAAGTTTTTATACAATTTTTACCATAAATTTTCTCGATTTTAAATAAAACCCTAATAAATTTTTTAATATTTTAGTCAAGGCACTAAGAACAATTTTGTAAACTTAAAATATACAAGTTGATTTTCTCTTTAAACTGTACATGAAAATAATATTCATATTCCATTTTCATTGGATATGATTAAAATAAAATCTTAATTGTTTTGGCCCTACATTTTTATTAGCTTTACCAGGGGAATATCCAGGAGGGGTAAATTGAGTAGTCAAACAACCCCTATTTTCCTTTGATCATCGCTAATTCTACAAAGAAATAATTGGCTTCTTCCTTGATGAGGGTCCCAAGGGCTTCGAAAGAACCCCCCTTTTCCAGATATGCCCATTTAGACTACTACTATGAAGTACCATTTTGCATGAAAGTTTTGGAAATTCTCCAAATATTTGAAATTTGGCATTTTTATTGCCAATCCCAGACATCTGAGGTGTTATATCTTTAAAATTTAACCCAGCTAGTGTGCGGCCGAGGTCGGTTTGGCCTCAAAGTTCCGTTTTGTGAACCCCCTTTAAAAATCCTACCTACGGGCTTGGGTTCTGCGCCCTCTGGATGCCTGCTGGCGCTGCCACTGATATGCAGCCATATATTGTGATATAATATTATTGCCTAGAAGAAATCTTGTACTATATTAAATCTGTGCACTAGTAATTGGTGTTCACAGTACAGTACATGTGTTTGCTGCCCTCTGTGGTTTATGATGTTGTATGCCTCTGACATTATTTGTTTATCATACATTCCCTGATTTATCAATTCAGCAACTTTAATTTTTCTCTAGTAAATTGTATAAATTATTATGAACAATTTCTAGTACATAATATGTAAAGGTGATTTAAAAAGTACTAGTCTATTTTGACTTGATTAATCCATGGAGGATACTAATTCCTCCATGATTAATCATAGGAATATATAAAATCTAATTCTTTGGTCAGGGGTCCCAAGCTGTCAGAATGGAAGAATCCACTTCCAGGAGATCTAGTCTAATGAGCTTTCTTTTTATGCATCTAATTGTATTTTGCTGCATGAGTTGATACCACTGATCTCTACTATAAAAGCAGGATTGTTCGATCTCGTACAGAAAAAAGCGAGGCCTCCGACGCCATGTTGGAGGGCCTAAGTGACACACCAGTTTAGACAAGTTTCTTTTGACATTTGTTTAAATTATAGTTAAAAAAATAACGATTCTTGCAATATTTTTCATTAATAAATTTAAATTTAACGTTTGAATTCTTTTCAAAACATCTAATGATTGGACATGACTGTTTATGCAGTTTACAGAAGCGCAAGCGAAGTCGTATTGTTATAGTGACATAGATTCTAACAACGCAAATAACTTCTTAAACTGCATAAAAAGTCACATTTGGAAAATAATCATTACATTAAATTAAAATTTATTAGTAACATTTTTGCAAGAATCATTATGCGTAACAATAATTTAAACAAATGCCAAAAGAAACTTGTCTAACTAAATTGATACGTCATGTAGGGCCCCCCTCCCCAACGTGGCTTTGGTGGCCTCACTGAAACCAGCCAATGAGCAATCCAGCTGTTATAGTAGAGATCAGTGGTTGATACGCAATGTCTCCTTACTTACACGGAGACAAATTGATAATGAAATAGTAAAAAAATGCAAATATCATATGGGAGTGGGTTAGTTTCCATAGTATCTGTGCTTGCTTGTGAGAATGCGCGAGCTTCTCATTTTCGTTATAACTTTTAGGTACATTAAATGTTAGAATACAGTTCCAAGAAACATTGGTTTATTTTTCCCAGTAAATTTTAATGTCAACAAAATACTCAAGACAAATTATTATAGTAATTAAATTATTATTAATGTTAATGTTTATATTATTTTTATTACCATTTCTATAATTACTGTTAATATCAATATCATATTAGACTATTTTGTTTACCATTAGTATTACAGGCATATGTTGTTTACAATCATCAATCAATTTTGAATAAGTATATTGTTTATATTATAGATGCTCGGTATTCAGCTAAAATATGACGGTTATGTTATATGTACATATGTCAACATTCTGCACCATATACTATGCACTCCCGAAGCCAGATTTGTCTGCATTATTTGCCGAAACAAATCCTCCTGACAAGATTTAAAATTTATAAATCTTTCAATTTTAAAATACAGAACATTGAAATATATCAGTGCTCCTCCTTCAACAGTGCTCCCCCCCCCTCTTAAACTTTCCTTCGTTGTTACCCATCTGGATTGATGGTATGCATCCCAAGTAATATATTTTTTTTATTAAAAAAAACAATGACGAATGCCTATTAATCCCCTTTGAAATGTTTTTATGAATGATTGGTGAATGTGCAAGTGATATGTTGTTGATGATAGTTAAATTAATATATATATTTGGTGTAACCATTGATTGTTATTAAAGATTAAATTGCTGATTGTGGGCAATGAAGCACAGGACTGGATCTTTGAACTATGTCTGGCCCAGTGATAACACCTCACAGCTCTGAAAATGCGTGTCAATGCCTTTTTCTTGTAATTAATATATATAAAAATATCTTCCTTTTTGCCACTTGATATAGATAACAACTCCACATCCAAATTTAATCCACCTATTTCATTATATTTTAGACTTTCATTTATTGTATACAAATTCTCATGTTATGTTAATACTGTATTTAAACAAAGGAACAAGATTTATTGAATATATTGTTATAAAAATGAAACAAGTTATGATTCTTGTAAGCTCGAAATTTTTTTTAATCTTTCATATTTTCATGTGTTTGTAAATACCCAATTGGTTTCTATTGTTTACTTGTAGGCAACTGTGAACCAATTGTGTTTATATTTCCATGTTGTTTTCTTATTTAAGGACCAATCAAATCTCTGGTTATTTGATTAGTAATTAATTGTAGGAATCAAAACCAAGATGTATTTCATTTTTGTGACATTTTTCAAGTAATATTTCCTTTCTTATTCTCTAATGCTCTAATTTCAAAAGGCTAAGATTAAGGAACTCAAATTGGCCACACTCAATTGTTATAGGTCGTTGACTAAAAAAAACCGGTTTTTTTCGATTTAAGAACATTATTTTTTGTGTGTGCTTCTGTAAATGTAGATAGCTATTGCTTTTTTACCTTAAAGCAACTTACGAAAATAAATGTGAAATTACATGTATAAGGTTGTTTTTTTCATAACTGCCTAGTGTTGCGCTGTTACACAGTATGTACTATGTAAGTCACCCCCTTATTATGCACCTGTATGAAAATCGCTGACAAAATGCACATGGTTGACCAGACAACTGTTTCATATGAGACAGGACGATCCATAAAAAATAAACAAGTTCTGACTTGAGCTGCTTTTTAATTCAAATTGCGATCAACATAAACAACTTGTGAATTGATATAACAATGTACCATTAGAAATTGTACAAAGTATGGAAATGCACACATCACATACGCAACATATGAACCCTGCGGCTCTCCTTATTTGTGTAGTAATTTGAACACACAATTTAATTCTAATTTCTTTTATGAAGGTCTACACCCACCACTGTTAGATGTCTGGAAATGGCACTAAAATGACAACTATCATATATTTGTATTTTATGCAAATGGTAGTTTTTACTAATAGTTTTAAATGGCATTTCTGGAAGAGTGGGGTTCTTTTGAAACCTTCAAACCCCCTGGCTACGGGCTTGTAAATAAGACATCATTCTCTGTGTTTGATCTAATATTTAAACGAATAGTAGTAAATTCTCATTGGTGACAGTATTCTAAACTCATGCTCCCAATATATTAAGAATTGTTCAGCTAATAAATTCTCTTTATTTCCATATATTTCCTTAAAACATTAAACATAATTAGTTTCATATTTAATCCTCTATTTACAACATTTAATATAAAAATTAATCATGCATTAACGTGTTTGATTAAAACAAAATTATTGAATTTTATGTTCATAAAAAAATACAAAAAATAACCTCTAATATAAAATATTCATGATATTTCATATTTTTCAACAGCTAGCACTTTCAAGTACCGCTTTTCGAAGTGGTACAGTATACATAAAAATGATAAAAGTGAGAGAAAACAAACAAAAATCTTGAATGTTAACATAGTTATAAATTTTGAAATGATAAAATTGTCTCATTTGAAATAATTTTTTATTAATGATAAAATTTTCTTCAGTTTGAGCTGTTTATAACATGAAGGAAAGTACAACAAAACAAACATTAAATTAAAAATTATATTTTATCCGCCCAGCTTTCTTGTATTGAGTTTCTTGTATTGAGCTTCATGTACTTATTCATATCTTTAAGATATAGAATAAATATATATATATAAAAAAAATATATCTACTGGAATTCATAATTGCTTTGGAGATTTGTTTGTTTTTTGATCTCTTGCACATGTGTTCGTATTGCTTAAAAAAAAACACAACCTAAATACTTAATACTACTTCCAGCTATTGGACCATTCCACTAAACCCCACCACTTGACATGGTTGCTAAGCCCTACAAAGCAACAGCCGATACATGCAGTTGCAAACTTGTGTATATGTTGAATACAAGTATTCTTGTCTACGCCATTTAAATAACACATTCTGATTCTTTGACACTCTGGAAAGGTCCACTGACATTGACAGCGTGGACACTCAAGTTGTCCTCAAAGGTCTGATACAGTTGATGTGGTTACCATAGCAACTAAAGGTCATGACGAAGATGATAATATGCATCAAACCAAATCTGTCCAGATTTATGCAGGGACCTATAAAAGAAATTTTGCAAGTCATAATATATTTCTCATACTAATACAGGTGTCCCTCTAATTAAAGACCATTCCCATTAAAAACCACCTCCAAATAAAGACTACATTTCTGTGGTCCCATATTAACATCACCTTTTATCTATCATTCTTATTAGGGACCAAAATCAGCTAAAGACCACTGAAACCCCAGTCCAAAAAGTGGTCGTTAATTGAAGGGAGACATGTATTAATATTGTATTTTTAATTTCATCACCATCATGAATATTTAAATCTATATCACTGAATTACACTGATAAAAGATATAGACAATTATTGTTCCTACCGTATGTTTAAATAGACCCTTTAAGTGGCTGGTAATCAACTTATAAATTTTCATAGAAATTCTGTAAATCTGAAATAATATGATTTGTTTTTATTTTAAGTTGATATCTTATCTCATCCTTTTAAATGTGCAATTATTGAAATTTTGATCATACCTCAAAATGTCCGCGAAACCTTCTCCTAAAGTCTTCACTCTGTACTCTATACCATGCTTCTTGCATATTGACTTCACAAGTGGGGTAATCCTGTGTAGGTTATGCCTTGGCATACTGGGGAAAATGCTGAAAAAATGAATAGAAATAATTTACTACATTATTTTGTTGTGTTTGGAACAATTTCAAATTTAATCCAACTTGCAGTGCAGTAACGAAGGAACGTTAATGCAACAAGGTTCTAATTGTCAAATAAATGATAATGTTTCATTGTTTGGAGGAAATTAATAATACAGAGTCAGGAATAAAATTAAATGAGAACATGTTTTTAAGTGTACTTTTAATTTGCATGCTTTCTGTTAATTGGGATCAAAAAAAAGGTGAGCGTTAAGTTCTAATTATTTATCCCATTTAATTACTGTAATGGAAAAGTATTTTAGTTTTAATGTGTGTAGGTCCATTTAATAAGGTAAAAATATACAGTACACTAAATTTTGTTGTTACGATTCACAAACATAAAATTGCATATAATTAGCAATATGTATTACAGGGAGCAATTCAAATCATACAGATACTGTATTTCTGGAAATGAAAAACTTTAGATATGACCTTGTTGTAAAATGTCAAATGGTAATAATCTCAACGTATATTAAGGTGGCCTATTGTCATACCTTGGTTAGCACACAATAGATATATTCATTTTCCCATGCATGTTTAGAATGAGCTCCTCCACCTGTAGGTGGCTATGTACATCTAAGTATGAATGCATAAATTTTGAAAAGTCCTTTGAAGTACAATAGATTTAATTTTCATGGTGGTGTGCACGGCAACATGTATGGTGTGCATTGGATTGTGGGTTCTTTATTCGTAAGATAATTTACAAGTGCCATTGTTTTACTATCAGCGCAGTGATTAAACCAAGACATATGTAACCTGTATTCCCACTAGTAACAGCAGTTGGCAGAATACTTGCAGTTCACAGTATAAACCTTAGGGTTTCAGATTTGAGCAAGACATTATACCTAGTCTCTCTACCCAGGGGTGTAAGTATGGTAACTGTTAGGCTCAAATGCCACTGGGCTGATTAAAGGTTATGAAGTTATACCACGCAAAATATGAAGGTCTCTATGAACAAAAACATGTGAACAGATGTAATTGAAAAAACAAGAAGAACTCCAAACCAGCAGACCGCAGTATGGGAATATGCCCTCGTCACTGACCAGGGATCTGTCAAAGTATACCCTATCCAGAGCCAGTAACAATGTTATAGAATTCGCCCCAGAAAGCTGAGTATGTGTTCCATAGGCATATGATCCAATTACCAGGGCAATATTGTGAAGCATGAGAGGCCTTATGGACATGATATACTCTAACTGGCATAATATTATTACTATACAAGTAGCTAAGTAGCTACATCTTTGTACATACTGGTGTTCAATCTGGAAGTTGAGGTGGCCTGTAAACCAGTCATTGAATGCTGACTTCTCAATGTTACAGGTAGCCCTTAGTTGTAACTCTAACCATGGTCTTTGCATGTCCTTATCAATCTCCATCGGTATATGGTTAGACTGGGCTACCCATGTAAACCAGATACTCTCAAGAACTCTACAAATAAAAATAGTATTACATACTAGAAATTGCAAATTGCAAGTGAAGTGCTGCGAAGTACAACTGCATATAAATGTTCTTCGAACAAAATTATTTATGCAAGTCAAGTGAAAATAATGAATAATAAAAATATAACAAATAATACAGTATGAGACACGACCCATTGTCTATATTAGAACAGCGTTGGTACCGTGTATGCCAGTCTACAAGAAGCGTCGCCTAAATATAATAATTAGCACGCTGAAATAGGCTAGTAAATAAGTTTAACTGGGTTCGTAAATAATATTGGCCTCAAAATATTGTGGCTGAGACATGGGCCGATTAAACGTAGAAATAGGAAACCTAGAAATATAGTAAAAACGCTGAAT